GTGTGGAGTAATAGTTTTGTGTGCCTCCAACAAGGAAACGGTGGGGAAGGGTAAAGCGCACAGAAACCAAGAAGAATCAGCAACTGGACAAATTTCTCTCGAATCCGAATACGACCCCATTTCCTAACAACCAAATACGTCCCCTTCTGATGGGTCATCCTGCACCCTGGTTGGTGCTCATGGACTTCTGTTTACTGTTTAGTCATTTTACTTATAAACGCAATGCATCCTAGACCATCTTTGCGATTTGTAGGACGTGCCCACTGCAGTCCTTCATATTGCTGTCCCATCATTTTTATTTTTCTCCCATTCAGGTCGGATGGTTCCCTGAAGCGTTTGCTGAGCCTATTGCCCATGTTCAGTCTGCTCTAACGCAGGTAAGCTGTAGGAAGGAGGGTGAAATGACTCGAGCTGTCATTTTATAAGCTATTTTCTCTGACATTTAGCCCATCCAAAACATGCCACCAAACGTCACTCCATCACCGTCTCTAGATCGCATTCCTGAAGAATCAGTGGTTAAATCGGTTGTTGCGCCAGCAGGTGAGTGATCTGTTTTTTTCATCACAGATTTTCTCGAACTTTCAAGACGCATTCCGCGATAAGCGGGTGGGTGGAGAGTCACAATTATCGCGCCTTCATCGTTTGTACTCTCCTCCAGACATACAGTAAAGGAGTGGGGCGCACAAATAAGGAAGGCGCATTGGTTTGGGTCTCCGCCCACATCTTCTTCCAAGGCATTGCCAAGGAATACAATTCTGCCTTTTAAATGTAACAGAACAGAGTGGATAGTTTTTAGTAATTCGCTCACTTTCCCTCCGGTCCTTCTTGGGATGAGGCTACCATTTCGTTTATCAATGACTCGTACTTGTTAGTTGAAAGTTTCAGAAACTACGACACAAGAGACTCCTGTAACTGTTATATGCTCATGTGTAGCTCAGTTCCCATGGAAGGCACGCAACGAAGGCGATCTGTCGTTCGCAAAGGGCGATCCTATTGAGGTAATTTGGGAAGTTATTGGTCATTCGGATTGGATTTTATATTTCTGCACGAAACTTCTAATTAATGCATGAGTTTTATTTTCCGTATCATTGAGGGGCAGAGTTAAATGCTTCAGGTTTTGGGGCACATGGGGGGGAGGGGGGTGGGAGGGGAAGGGCATTCAAACTGATGTACACAAGTTTTGAAAACACAACACCGAAACATTAAACATTTATTTGAATTGTTTTCAGATCATCGAGCAACAGGAAATGAAGTGGCGGGGCCGAAAGGCAGACGGATCTGTTGGATGGTTCCCAAAGAGTTATGTGAAAGTAGTAAGCCAAGTAAGTTAGCGTGTTTGGGTAAACTGTTGCTAAGGTAGTAAAACTGAAATTACTATTTGAAGGGTGCCACGAGTTCGCAGCCATCATCAGCTGCTCAATCGGTCGACAAGTCAACACCGGTTGCTGGCTCCCCCACGGCTGGCTCAGCGACGCCAACTGGAAAGACCACCAACAGTGGCAGTGGAAGTGCTTCTAGACAAGTATGGTACCTCGACTATTTTGCATTTTTTAATGTTGCATTCATCTTTCCGAAGTCATTCTAGATGTCAACGTCAAATTCGTCCCAACAAGTGAACATTCCGCAGTCACAATCGAAACATTCTTTGAGTTCACAGACTTCCAAAGGCATGTTTTTTCCAGTAGTCAAACAAGTTCTAGAGTTTGTTGGTTTATTTTGATGGAGATTTAAAGGATGGAAAGTGTAAATAGTCAAAACGAATATTTGGCGCGGTTCTGCTTGGAAGGGGGGGGGGAGTTTGCACGTTCGCTACTTCCCATCGACATGCTCATTGTTTTACAAGAGTTGGCAGGTGTTCTTCGAAAGACTTGACAAGTTGTCTCTACAAACGGCGGCTTCACAGGTCTCCACATGATGGCTCAACACGTTGATGAGAAGTAGCGGAAGTGCAAAAACCTCACCCACCCCCCCCCCTTCTCCTCCTCACTTGAGCCGAACTGCCCGATCTTTTGTACTAGCGAAGACACTGTTTATGTAAATGTATAACATTTACATGCCTGTGAACTACGCCGATACCTATACAGGGGGGGCCAAAAAAAAGTCATTCCGGCCGAGTCACATATGAGCGAAGTTTTCGCAGCCCAGACAGAGGAAGTGGATATGAGTACCAGGGCGGAAGATACCCAAGATCTTCCTCTATAAGCTGGAGCGGCTGCCGCCATTCGCCTTCATGTACGCCAAAATATGAAGTCATCTCCAGTCGCGGCCTGACTGGAGAACACCTTTGGAATTCACGTCGCCTCCAAACAGCTGCGAAACTTCTTGAATGAAGTCATCCACAGATAGCTACCTGGAGGTCAGTACTCTTGATCTGCAAGACCTCCCACATCGAGCAGCTACGGCAACGTCGCTACGGTCTAGGACATCATCTTCACCGTATTCGCCGAGGCGCGAGTTGATGGTATGGACCGGGGTACCTGGAAAGGGGAAGACCGATATTTTCTTTGTAGACCCCGACTGAAGGTGAGCGCTGGCGGTTACATCAAGTAACTCGAGAAGAATATCCTCCCTACATGTGGTCGCCCGTACCTTCTTGGAGACCTTGTGCTGCTACAGGTTTGGGTGCCACCACATGGAATCGAAGGGTTTTGGAAAAACTCCCGCCTACTTGGAATGGAAGAACGTTGAGTACCTGGAAAAGATGGAGTATTTAAGCGGGGGTCCTGAACTAAACCCCCTCAATTACTCGGTTCGGGCGGAGCTCAACAGGGTGGTCTACAGTGGCGGAGAAATCAACGATCTCGCTCAACTCCGGTACCCACTCACTTTCGCGCGGCCGAATCTCTCGATGGCGCTCCTCCAGAAGGCTGTGGCGGAGTATCATTATAGTATTTAATGTGCTCTTTAATATGGTAGTAAAAATGTCCGATAAAAATTTAATAAAGTGTAACTTATAGCGCCTTGAAAGTCATGGAGGCAAAATGACTTTTTTTTGGCCCCCCCCCCTGTATATCACCTTACCAAGGTTTCTCCAGGAACTGCATCAGAACCAGCACCCGTAGCGGCTAGCTGGTATGTGGCAATGTTTGATTTTGATGCAGTTGAACCAACTGATTTGTCGCTGAAAGTCGGGGATCGAATCATGGTGCTTGAGCAGTGAGTTGCTTGTTGGAGTCATTTTCTTTATTCTTTTTTCTACAGGGACGCTATTTAGCTCCAAAACCCCAAAAGAGTTTCTCTTCCCGGAACTTCGTTTAATGTGGTGTTTAGGTCTCTGATCACGGGTATGATTTTCATTTTTGGCGCTGTCGTCACCCCCTCCCTTCCACCAAAAGTATAAACCTTCATAATAGGGATGCAGTGCTGTGTGCAGTGCTATTTGGCATCCTGGATGCGAATCAGACATTCATGACATTGACATTCTTGACATTTCGTCATCAGCGCTAATATACAGTGTTGTTCACTGTGGACGCTGGGGCGAGTCAGGAGGACTGGATTTGGCGCGGTGCCAGTCAGCTTTCCATCAGATGCATCGCTCGCCCGTGTAAAAAACGGGCCGGTGCTAAAAGCAGCCTCCTGACCAGCTTTCGGCATCGGCTGCTATCAAAACCATGAGCACTTTATTCATCTGCGCTCATGCTGAGCCGAAGAAAAGAGACCATTTTTCATACCATACTCAGCCTTAGCAGTGCCCTAAATGGCAGCGGGGAAAATGAGTGACAGATTCATGACCATAACATCAAACAACCTCATTCTGAGGCTATTTTATCGGTTCTGATGAAAAAGGTGATGGCGCCAAATGGAGCCAGCGACAGGAACCAATGTCGTTCTATTATGAAGTCCTCATCATCCGGGTATCCTAGCACTTTTGAGCCGAAATAAAGCACGCTTCTGCAGCTGCTGATCCATTCACCTCGCAACCGGGAAGGACTAGGACCCACCGGGGCGGTTGTACACATTGTATCTAAACGATTACTCTTTTTTGGAGTGTGACCCGGTGCTATTTCAATGGAAGAGAACGAAACAGGGCTCCTGTTGTGATTTCATCGTTTCGTACTGCAGTAGGATAAAATCGAATCGTGGAGGATTTATGCCATGTCTTGCGACGCACGCTTACAACCTTTATTTATATTTTCGTACAAGTGTCTTGCAGAAACGACGACTGGTGGAGAGGACGCTGTAATGGCCGTGAGGGAATTTTCCCTGCTAATTACGTACAAAAATGTGAAAGTGAGTTCTCTAATATACACTCCTTATTCCTGAGCCGGGGCAGGCGTGGCATTTGAACAGGGCACGCCCATCAGCGCGGCACATTACGATTGTCTTATCGCATATCCCTTTCACATGACCTGAATAAGTTCTGTTTTCAGCACCGACAGCAGCGTCGATTCCGATATTGTGTCGAGCTCGAGCAGTGGCCGACTTTGAGGCGACGGCGGCAAACCAGCTGAGCTTGCGAACGGGCGATATAGTATCCGTTCGTGAAAAGAGCGCCACTGGCTGGTGGGAAGGCGAACTACAACGTGATGGACACACCTGTGCTGGGTGGTTCCCTGGTGACTACGTCAATCCTATCGCGGTGAGTACAGATTAAATAACTCACCCGAATCATCTGCATTCTACCATACCTTTTTGATTGCCCTCTTTTGAACATGGTTATATCTCAGTATGTATGAATTGAGCGTGCGGTCGCGAGACGCCAACATTCTTGCGCTGCCGTTTTGCGACGGTTGGCTCATTTCATTTGTATGATGAAGTCATGCAGTGCTGCACTAACCCAATCCACTCCAACTCGTTGTTAGTGATCACTTTTTGAAATCTAACCCATATAGATGAATGCTGCATAAACTCGTCCGCTGATGCTGTGTCGAAGCCAAAAAAAATTTAACTTACCAGAAATATTTTTTTCGGGTGTAAGCAAGACGTTCGAGTCGTGGCATCGAGCTCAAGCCGACATTCCTTGCTAGTTGACTCGAAGTACTTTGGCGTCAAATCAATCAGGTCATTGCAACATACGTCCTGTACCGTTCATTTCACGGCTTTATCTACAAAGAATTTCGGAAACTGGTAACTGTTTCGTTACCTTTTGAGAGCAAACTTTATGGTTGTTCCGAAAAGGGGACCTTCCAGTATGAGGGGGAGGCGGGGGGGGGGGGGAACAAGTTAGCATTAATAGAAATGTGCTCTTGCCCTTCCGGAGCGACAGTGAGGCCAAAGGCTCGTGATGGCTTGATGTTTTCATGTCATCGTCCGTCATTCTATGCTTGATGAGCGCGTCACATTCTCGTCATACGCCAGTTCACACGGCGTGTGGCTATAGTCACGCAGTGCCGTGGCATGACCGAGCCGCACGTGTTGCGTACAGAATGTGGGCGGAGACATAAAATACATAAAGGATAAAGTCTTCGCCGTTGATCAATCCCTTTGTGGATGCGGCATTCTACTTCCATTCAGAATCGTAGTGGCTTATTGAATGCGATGTGGCCTATACAATGACTTGCGGGGCCAGCCGATGTACAAGTCAGTGTTTTATCCTCCCAGACGAATCTGGTACCAATTTACCGTCCCCGGAGGGTAGAAGGCTTGGTTGGCCTGGGCGGGAGTCGACCCGGGATTCGAACCCGGCGCCGCGCGAGTGGTAAGCGCGCCACTTGTCACTACACCACCTCCGCCCATAAAATAATAGAGCTGTCATATGCCTCTGCTTTAATGCCGTGCATTTTTGAAGCTACCCTTCTTGAAAGGACTCACTTCTGAGGTAACATACCAGAGAAAACGAACTACCGTGTCGATTTTTTGAAGCCGTGAAATAATAGCGGAGAACGTAGACTGCCGCGACTCAATTGATTTGACGCCAACTTGGTGTGCCAAGTTAACTGGCTAGGAATACTTGGTTTGCATCGATCTCGCAGCTCCTACCTAATTACTCCCCCTCCTTTCGAAAATTTTCGAGTAAGTACAAGCATTCCGCTTTGGCTAGAAATGGCTTTTCAGAATGGGAAAGCCGCTGAGACAGGCAATCAGAACACAGCCACCGCTCTATTTGACTACGTAGCTGGTCAGTCGGACGAGTTGTCGTTTCGTGCTGGTGATGTGATTGTGGTGAGTCCTTCGGCTGAAGATATGCAAGCGTCGTGACTGGACGCTAGCCATCCGAAGCTAGAAGTACTGTAATTTTACAGATTGTGGAAAAGAAAGACGCCGATTGGTGGGCGGGGCATAAAGTTGACACGCCCAATGTTCGTGGTCTCTTCCCAGCGAATTATGTCCAGTTGAGGTGAATCATGAAGCTCACCTGTTCCTATTTAAGATTTTCTTTTTTGCATTTCTAATTATGCTTGGTCGGTTTCACCAAGTATGGCCCTGGTGGGCGGCGCTTCGGTATGATCAACCTAGTGGCACATTTTTCCTCCTATATTTCGGATTTATAGTGCCATTGGGTGAAGTTGACTAAGGAGGACTATTGTATCAATATTATCTCTTCACTTTATCGCGTTCACCCGTGCATTGCCGTCATACGTGGGTTTGTCCGGTAGCGGAAAAGCAGTATTGCAATAACAGTGTGTTGTCCAGTTGTTTGTTGGTACCCTATACGGTGCTATACAGTATGCGTAGTGGCATTTTTCCATTGGCACTCTTCCAATTCGTTAAGTCCTGTTCGCTGTGGTTGCTGAGGTCTTTCAGGGGCTGAGGGGAGTTGAACGAGCGCCAGCCTACTGCCGCCAACTGCCGCAAGCTGGCAGGTGACCGTACCTGGGCCGCTGGCACCCAACCAAGCCTACCTGAAACCCCTAATGTCCGCAGCGAACAGGACTGTAGCTGTCCTCGGCGGCGTTACTGCAAGTAGACCTCTGTGCCTGTCTATCCTTCATATTTCCTATTTCGGCCGGTTTCTCCTTCAGTGAAATTCTTAAAGGCATGGTTCAACAATGGCCCTGGCCTATTAAATGCTAGGCGCTCGTCGCTATGTAGCAAGTATCCGCTACGAGAGAGGTGAGTGATGCCCCCACACCCACCCACCTCCGTTCTGTTGCACTTCACAAGCTATCGCTCCCTTTCACCCTCTTGTTTCACCCACTATTTATTTATTCATTGCTACAGCTGCCATAAAAGGTGCTTAGATTTGAAGTCACTCGAGCGTTTATGTTTATTTGTTTATTGTTTGTGTCGCACGTCGTTCCTATACTATGATAGATTGAGTGGCTTTCAAATCTGGTTACCAAAAATGATTTCCTGGTTATTCTGGCAGACATCTAAGGCAGGGCTGGGCATGTTTGGTACAGGTTTTATTGCATGGTTGGCGCCAACGTAGCACTGGTCGGTAACCTGTTGAGAGCCAGAGGATGACGTTTTAACAAGACAAGTCGTTACTGTGTGTTATGTGACGTCATTGACACGTCATCTGTCTCTTATCAGGGTAAATTACTGGACCGCGTACCTGCTGTAGTGCTGTGCTTCGAGGTTCCTGATATGGCAAGATCATCTGGCTGCAGGCTGAGACGGATAACGTTTCAGTCTTGCAAATAGCGCTCCTAGTGAATTCACCTATTCTAACCATTGAGGTACCTTAAACGGGCGGGAGCCAGGACGCCGTCACTGGGTGCAGGCACTCTCTTCCGGAGAGATAAGCCAATGACGCCGTTTCTTGGCTCCGGCGCAACTTGGTGCTTCGAATCGGTACCTCTGAGGCACCACGGGGGGGGGCAGGGAATAGCATTCTCGATGTGCCACTATTTTCGAGGAAAGAGCCAATGACGACGTTTCTTGGCTGCACCCATTCCACGGCCATGAATGGTGTATTTCAGCCACATTGGGCGTCCAGCGAAATGGCGTCCGTGTGGTGCACCACTTACCCTTGGGGAGATGAGCCAATTGATCCTTGTTTCTGCCTCGCCCACATTGAGGGCTGTGGTAACGGTGGTTTTGAGGGGTATTAGGGGGCGTTCATGGAGATGGCGTCACTGAGGTCATCCCCCTAGCGAGAAGTGCCAGTGACCATTCGTTTCTTGCCTACCTTTTCGCTGATTGAATGCACCCCATCTGGTGGCCGGTTTGCATGTGCGTCTAGGAGTTTCAGTAATACGTCGCCCCTACCTCGGGGGGGTGCTCTATTTCTCCCGCCGTAATAGCCATGAATACGGCCCCCTGTCGTCACCACACCACACTTTTTTTCAATTTTGATACCTTTGTGAAATAAATGGGTAGACGACGGTTTGTATTTTTTCCTCGAGAAGGCATGTGACTTGACTGTGTTACGTGCCATGTTACTTACGTAAATTACTAGTCATAAATGAAGTGCTAGCGTTGTGCTAATGCTCGATCAATACCTACATATATAGTGTTGACACATAATTAGGTGCATAATTGTTGAGTTTAAAAGGATAATAATTTATTCACGCCAAATAATTTATGTAATTACATAATGTCCTCATGTCACTTTGCATAGGTTTCAAGTTCTAATATAAATAGTTTACTAGTTTTGTGTTTTGTGTTTGAGCGAGTTTTAGATGATGAGATATCCAATAAAGGTCTTCTGTATTGAGATCTTTTTATTGATTTCGCTTATTGTAGTTGTTAGCTCAGATCAGTGTGTTGTGGTGTGATACGTATGCTTGGTCCCTGGTGTTGGTTACCTGCATGTTTCCCCTTTTCACTTTATCCTATGGGTCCTGTAAGGAATACTACCGTAGTCGCTGTGGACTTGATGTGAGTTTGGGTGGCCGCATCACTCTGCATGTTGCATAGGTAGGGAAGTGAAAGCTGTTCGGCTCGGAGGGGGCATTTTGCTAGTTCCTTCTGTTAGTTCCGTTAGCTAACAGGTCCCTATTCGGTAAGATCTGTAAAGTCTTGTGAAGCTGCGAATCACAGGAATTTGCAGGTTTTCACAAGGTAGCGTGTACAAGCTTAGCTGGGAACCATACGGTGCCCCCACGAAGCCGAACTACGTTGAGAAAAAGTTTTTCTTCCGAAGCAAAGCTTTGTTTGGTGTGATCTTCGGGGCGAGCATGTATACTGTAAAAACAGCTGTAGCATGAATACACGGTAAGATAATCTCGCTATAGTCGCTTCATTTGTTCGTGCGTTGTGATGTGATGAAGGCGCGCCCCCCCCTTTGTTGCTTTGTGGTTTCTAAGCTGGTTCGGGTAAAATAGTGTGGGGTTTAAGTTTGCAAATAATTTTGCAGTAGGAAGAGTCCCCTAAACAGGCACTTCCTCGGGTTACAACGTGTAGGCCAGAGGTGCTGCACCAAGGCAACGCTACGCGACGGCATGCACGACTCACAGCAATACCTTGTAAGGGGTAGCGGTAAGTATCGACTAGGAGGGTGGGGCATCTAGAGAATTCTCCAAGCGGGACGGGTGCTACGCAGAGGAGACGAAGATTTTTACCCAAACCTAGGAAATGAGGAGGTCGGGGGTGGGTTATCCCTTAAGTGGTTATGGGATTTGCTCTGCGGCAGTCTCAGTTTTCGTAAGACCGTACAAGGTATAACCGAGGTATGTGCGTGTCTATAGGCCAGGGACACGTCCTTCTCCACTCCCCTCCCCCTCCCCCTGCCAGGAGAACAACATCCTCTGTGTTTTGTGTTGTGGGATGCAGGTGAAGGTGCTTGTCATAAGACTAACTAAGCGGAATAACCTTGAGTTATTTGCTTGCCCTGCTACTTTCGTTTAACCTCCTCGCTAAAATCATGATTGAAGCGTGCAGTTTCGGTCAAAACACCGAGGTGTATCAGGTGGCTGGATCTGGCGCGGCTCGCGTCCGTACTCCACCAATTGTTGTGGCTTGCCCGCTTCAACAGTTGATGGGGACTGGCATCACGTCAAACCCAGCCCCTATACACGCCTAAAGGTTCGCAGTCACGACTGTGTTTCGGTTTCTCGCGACCCTTCGAAAGACAAGCTTACCTTTTCGAAGTGCAGAATGAGGTGGAGGAGAGGGTGCGTTGGGTTAAACTCATTTAACTGCCCGTATGCCTTTCAGTTGATCTGTTATGGCTTCTACTCGTTGGTGTCAGGCTTCGTGTCACCGGTACGCGAGGATTTGTGTTTGCCTTCTCATGCGCCATTGTTTGTGTTTGTATTATATTAAGTTCACTCCTGCATATGGCGTCCAGCCAGAATCGATCAGTTGCCCCAGAATTTCGGGAACGCTTCGCGTTGATTTTTTGAGGCAACTACTTTTTGCGGCTTACATTTCGATTGTGGGAGGGGACATTTCAGCAGCTTTGGCTATTCGCGTTATTGATAGCATCCTGTTACACGTCAATGTTGATGAGAGCTGTGGGCTCTAGTCATGTGTAAAAGAAGCTCAAGATGTTGCATAGTTCTGTAGGAGCTTACATACCTCAGCATGAGGACTCGATGACAATGATTGGTGAATGGATCAGCTAAATCACCTTCAAGTCGAACTGAGCCTCGTTTGTTTTGAGTTTTCTTTCGTTTGCTTGCCCATTATGTTATACACCATCACTGTGTGCAACATATAAATGCAAGGGATCATACTCCCTGCTTCTCTTGCAAAACTCAGAGACTTATGGTCGAAAAAAGGCTGGGTGTCAAATTGAACCTCCTTTTAGTCAGCGTAGGCAAGTAAGTGGATTAGTTGGTAGTTTGTTTGAACGAGTTTAGGGCTATAAAGTGGATGTGACAGAGCTGCTCATCCAGGAGTCCATGAATATTCGGGAGTTACACCGAAATAAGTGATTGCGTCACGTGCATGCTTGCAGTACAGTCCTTATCATTGCGGAATGTCGGGGCGGCTGAGCCGCGCTGCACTGTGGTGCGACAGCGGCTCGGTGACGGCAAATCAGCTGATTTACATAGAATTCGGCTGCAAATTCCCACTTTTTCAGCTCTTCAAGCTTCGAAAGTGGAAGGTGAGTTATTTTGAACAATTTTAAATTGTACTGACTCTGAATGAATCTGAAAGAATGCAAGCCATTTGAATAAATGCCTGAAATAAGGCAAAATACAAGGAAAAGAGCATAATAATCGACATAAAAATAAAGGAAATCAGAGCCAGTACAATTCAAAATTGTTCAGAATAACTCACCTTCCACTTTCGAAGCTTGAAGAGCTGAAAAAGTGGGAATTCGCAGCCGAATTCCATCGAAATCAGCTGATTCGCCGTCACCGAGCCGCAGCCGCTGTCGCGTCACAGTGCAGCGCGGCTCAGCCGCCCCGACAGTCCTGCAATGATGAGGACTGTACTAGTCGGTGGGTTAGTGGGTCTAACACTCAAGGTGGAGAGAGAATTTCGGCGAAATTCGTAGCGAGCA